TATGGGTTTTATCTCAATATATTTTGAAATGAGGGCATTCTGGAAATAAACATCACATTATGGGGCGGTATTAAAAAATATAGATATTCAATCTTTACCATATGGACAGTAAGACCAAAGTCTACAGAAATTGAGCAAAGTGGATCTGAAGACATAAAGATGACATACAAATGTTCAGATTGGTTGATTCTACTGAGCTAATTCATCATATTATTTTAATTAAAAGCATATGTCCTATTACATATATGTACAGTTGCATAAAATATCTATGTTTTTAAATATGTTATAGGGTTTAAGTATTTGCCTAAAGCAGAATAGCTGAAGGTTATTGAACGTCATTCACTCCGCTTGCTACTGCCCCCTCCCGGCATGGACACTATCCAACACTAAACATTGATAAAATTAAGTAAATGGTTGGAGCACAACGTGACTACATCTTGTGTGGTTCACATTATTTCAAAGATAAAAATATTAATATTCCCAAATATTAGTTTACATCACCACAAATATGACTATAAAGGATCCAACATTTATTTTACCGAGGCAGATGAGTTAAATCACTGGATCCATGGCAATATTATAAAATACTATGAAGTTCGGGCATACCTTCTTACTGAATGGTTTGACTTCATTTTTATTTTTTGTACATGTAGATTAATATTAAATACATCAAAACTATGAAGGAACGTGTGGAATATATATCGAATTATTATGTGGTATGGAATTAACTCTTAAACAAACCACAATATGTTTGATGTTTTATATTTCAGATTCTTCAAAGTAGCCACCTTTTAGTTTGATAACAGCTTTGCGCACTCTTGGCCTTCACAATTACAGCATCATTTCGGAGTGAAAGCTTTTATAAAAATCCTCACACACAAAACAATAAGACAAGCAAACTCCCACATAAACAAACAATGAAAAAAAAAAAAGTGGCAGCACTTTATGTATTCAATGATTTAATCAGATGTGTTCGACCTTATCACAAATTCATCTAAGGGGGCCGGTCTCTGGTAAATCCGGCAAGGCAGAGTGAGCCTCTCCTGTCAGGGTTGCTGGGTGGAAGGCATGACTCAAACGCAGACTTGCGGCAAACAAAAGACTTTAATAGTCACAAGGATCAAAAAACACCGGAACTGGGGGCAAACGCACACAGGCAAGAGACTACGACGATCCAAGACGAAAGACAATGACGCGACAAGTGACACAGGAGACACACTGCTTAAATACACAAGGGAGGTGCAGGTGATTGGACACAGGTGGAAACTATTAGACGAACACAGGGGATGACGAGACAAGGCAGGAAGTGAAGTTACCCGGGGACACGAGTGGCAGAAAACTACAAAATAAGACAGGAAGTGAACCACACCGTGACAGTACCCCCCCCCTCTCAAGGGCCGACTTCCAGGCGGCTCACACTAGAGCAAAACAAGGGGTGGGGGGGAGGGAAACCCGAGACGTTGGTCGGACCACCCGGGAAACTCTGGCGGGCGGCCCGGCGGGCGGCCAGACGAGCGGGGAGCCTCTGGGGGTCGGCCCGGCGGGCGGTCCTTTCGCCGGCTCCGGAGCGGTGACCACAGGGCACGGAACGTCTCAGGAATGGCAGGCTCTGAGAAACGGGAAACCTCCGGGGTAGTCGGCGGCGCCGGCTCGGGGACACGGGAAACCTCCTGGGTAGTCGGCGGCGCCGGCTCGGGGACACGGGAAACCTCCTGGGTAGTCGGCGGCGCCGGCTCGGGGACACGGGAAACCTCCTGGGTAGTCGGCGGCGCCGGCTCGGGGACACGGGAAACCTCCTGGGTAGTCGGCGGCGCCGGCTCGGGGACACGGAACACCTCCGCAGTCTGCTCCGGCGCCGGCTCGGGGACACGGAACACCTCCGCAGTCTGCTCCGGCTCGGGGACACGGAACACCTCCGCAGTCTGCTCCGGCTCGGGGACACGGACACCTTCGCAGTCTGCTCCGGCTCGGGGACACGGAACACCTCCGTAGTCTGCGGCGGCTCAGCCCCCCGCATAAACCACCCCTTAGCCCCCCCCTCAAGGGCCGGATCCCAGACGGCCCTCAAATCACCAACGGGAGGGTGAGAGAGGACCATGGGATGGGAGGGAGGGAGCCTGAGTCTCGGAGTGGGCACTGGGGGGGTCGGGGGCATGGAGCATGGGGCCGGAACTGGTCGGGTCGGGGGCATGGAGCGTGGGGCCGGAACTGGTCGGGTCGGGGGCATGGAGCGTGGGGCCGGAACTGGTCGGGTCGGGGGCATGGAGCGTGGGGCCGGAACTGGTCGGGTCGGGGGCATGGAGCGTGGGGCCGGAACTGGTCGGGTCGGGGGCATGGAGCGTGGGGCCGGAACTGGTCGGGTCGGGGGCATGGAGCGTGGGGCCGGAACTGGTCGGGTCGGGGGCATGGGTGAGAGTCGGGCCGGCCCAGCGGGAACGGGAGAACGCTGCGGCGGCCCAGCGGGAACGGGAGATCGCTGCGGCGGCCCAGCGGGAACGGGAGATCGCTGCGGCGGCCCAGCGGGAACGGGAGATCGCTGCGGCGGCCCAGCGGGAACGGGAGATCGCTGCGGCGGCCCAGCGGGAACGGGAGATCGCTGCGGCGGCCCAGCGGGAACGGGAGATCGCTTCTTCCGCTTGCTCCTCCTAGGGTTAAGGAGGTCCAGGAGCTCGAGGCAGGCGAGCTGATAGCTCCTGGGACCAAAAACACAGTTTGTTTTCCGCTGCCAGAAGGGACTCCTTACGTCCAGGTAGTCCGGACCGTAGTCTGGCAGCGGGTCTGCTGAGCCCTTCTTTGGTCGCGTCATTCTGTCAGGGTTGCTGGGTGGAAGGCATGACTCAAACGCAGACTTGCGGCAAACAAAAGACTTTAATAGTCACAAGGATCAAAAAACACCGGAACTGGGGGCAAACGCACACAGGCAAGAGACTACGACGATCCAAGACGAAAGACAATGACGCGACAAGTGACACAGGAGACACACTGCTTAAATACACAAGGGAGGTGCAGGTGATTGGACACAGGTGGAAACTATTAGACGAACACAGGGGATGACGAGACAAGGCAGGAAGTGAAGTTACCCGGGGACACGAGTGGCAGAAAACTACAAAATAAGACAGGAAGTGAACCACACCGTGACACTCTCCGGTCTATATTGTGCCATGTAACCTACAGCTAAAAATAAGGTACAATCTGCATCAGAGTTTGTCTTTTGTTAAGACAATGTTATATAGTATATATATATATATATATACTTTTTTTTATTTTTTTATTTGATCCATACTTGGTATCCAGCTGCCCCCTTGAGGTCAAAGGCTGTACGGTAACGCTGTTGTTGTGCCACCTATCCTATTACAGGCAGATTAACTGACATTTGTCATTAACTGACAAATGCTTTATTGGTGCTGTGTATGCTGCTGCCACTCATGCTCAACAAGGCCATACTTATTTCCTAGTATTTAAAGTGTATAGATAATATTACACATTGCATTTTCACTTTTTAAGCGTTACTCTTCACATTTCAGGCCAATTGTGACATGAGCCAGCAGCAAAACCCTTGTTCCAAAGCAGCTAAAAAGAAGTTTAACCACCATTTACTTTTTGCGATTAAAACCTCTGACTTTCTACTGTGGCCTGTCAAATTATCTCCTGTCCTTTAATTAAAGCATTGCACATCTACAAAAAAAGTAAGTGGACATGAGTATGTGGCTGTTAATTGGTCAAACACCTACCTGTGAAAACAGTTCTTGCGGTTATTTTACACTTGTATGAAATCCGAGGGGGGGCACGGTGGTGCGGCGGTGCAGCGGTTGAAGTTCCTGGTTTCGGCTCCACCCAGTGGCCTTTCTGCGTGGGTTCTCTCCGGGTGTGTTAGGGATTTAAGTCAGGAAATTATAGTACGGGTAATAATGTTTAGTGTTAGAATTATAGTTTGTGTGTTTATGAGATATTAATTATTACATTAACATATTAGATCAAGTGAATGCAATTTCAATCAAACACAATTCATAGTCATTAAATCGTATAAACACTGTACACATTAACATTCTGTCACAATGTGATGTTAAAACCTGGGGACGGATGCCAATTGCCGTCCTTTATGGATTTCTCCCAATTTTATCCCCAAAGAGGGTTTTTTGGGAGTTTTTTCTCCTGTCAGGTAATAAATGAACAACTTAATGCGAGGCAGCCGATTGAGGCAAATGTCTTGAGAATTGAACCACATGAACTGTCATAGATCTATGATGAAGTGTGATGAACGGTGATCATTAATGATGGGTTGTTGTAATAAAAGTGTACTAGTTATAAGACGAAGACTTAAACGATGTATGCTTTGTTAAATTCACTCATTGAGGCATAAAGCCAACTGTATCTACATTGAGTGCATTGGAATGTGAGGGACAGATAGTACAGTGAGGTTTCAGGTTACAGCTGCAGCTTCACACCTCGACGTGAAAGGGACAATGGAGGAGGTGACCCTTTGGAGAAGAAGCCAATGACATTCAAATGCACCAAGGAAGACACACCTCAAGAGGTTTCAAAGGACCAAGGCGGGGAAAGGACTGGAAGAATTTTCCTGCAGCCGCTTTGATAAGTCACTTTAGACTTGCTCAGAGGATTCTCTATTTCGCGAAATATTTTACTGTTCGCTTAGTATTTCACTTTGTAATTGCATTCCTTATAACGTTGTTTAGTTATTAAATACTTTTTGAATTTAAACAAATTGACTCATTCGTGTCCTCGTTTCCGGCTGGGACGAGAACAAAGGAGTGAGGCCTCCCTCGAGAGCTTTCCGAAACCCTAACAGGTGCTCCGGTTTCTTCCCGCAGACCAAAGACGTGCTCTAGGACATGATCAGGTTGGTGAATCTAAATTGCCCGTAGGTATGCAGATGTGAGTGTGAATGGTTGTTTGCCTCTGTGTCAGCCCTCCGATGGTCTGTCCAGGCCAACGTGTACCCCGTCTCTCACCCGGCTCAAGTAATGAGTCAACAACGATACTTTAAGGAACAATTACTTTTATTATCAATGAGAGGAATATAGATATTTGAAGGTGATTTGGTTTCCTGGGAGCGGTTGCAGCAGATTTAATGATGGAAAAAGATTTGCACAAAGGACATACAGATTGAACCCAAGCATATGGCCAAATGTGATCCCAACGGAGAACCATCTGTTATATCAGGATTCTTTTGGCATACTAAAATTTCAATTGCAACACAGGAATAGATCTGCTGTCTGACACAATAGCCGGCAGTAGTTCTCCTTGTAAATCAAGGCTATTCTTTAAGTGGGTTCTTATCTCGTGTTCCGATTATTGATACGGATGCGCAATCACATTTTGGAACATACAAAAATGAACAAATGACTATTTATCCTTTGAGGCAGATGCTCCAATGCGACATTTGAACAAAATAGTACATGATACTAGCTGATACATGAAAACAATGCGTTAGGAGTAAGTGAGAAAGCCACTGATGGAGTATCCAGTTAAAAACCCCGCATCAGCTCGTAGGAAAGTAAATTCAGCGTCATTTCTTTCTGTTTCTATAAGAGAAACTGTACGATGGAAAAGCCTCAACACCGTGCTGATAATATCAGGCACATAAATACATAATAATATTAATAATAATAATAATAATAATAGACAAACAAAAGATTGAGTTTGCAAACATGTGATACTTCTCAGGTTATAGTCAGTTGTGAGGCACTCTTATTGGACAGGCATTTTATTTACAAAGAGCAGGCCCATACACACAAAGAAAATGAAAAAAAAACATGGTGGCAACTTTCCAAAGCATGATGAGTGATTGGGACTTTTGATCCCAACAGATCTCGACAATCAACGCACCGTTTCCCTCAGTCTCTAATTGCTACTAGATTAGGGCATCAAAAAAAGTACTTAGAAACGTACAATCACCAACGGCCATCACCATTTTACTTTATAAAAATATCACCATGGTGATTCCCAGATTCCCAGATTTTGACCGTGGAGAGAAATACATATTTACAGTTCCACACAAAGGGAAAATGGAAAGAAAATTCATTGGGAACAAAAAGCTTTGAGGGAAACGATGGGCAGTGTGGAGAGGGTCCCAAAAGGCAGAGCTTTAGCAATTCTTGCTTTAAGGTCTAAATGGACACCTCTCGTGTTCATTTGTCCTGTAAAGACCAGACAAATAAATCAATGAACAAAGAATTAGAGTATTGTGCAATTTGTGATGCACAGTATTTTAAATCAACGGCATCTTACTTTTTCGGGTTTTATTTAAAATGTTTGAGTTAAGATAAATAATCTCTCTAACGTGCTGGCATAATGATGATTTTCTTAAGAGGAATACTGTTTGTCAGTAATGTCTTGCACATAAAACATGGGGAGATACACACAAAAACAGAAAAGATGAAGTCACGAGAAGAGATATAGTTAAATATGTTTACAGTGGAAAACTATTAATATCCATTAACATGTATTATCAATACGTACCCATTGAAAGCCTAACAAGACGCACAAAATCATTTTTTCCAATTATTATATGTTGGCAACTTCGATCTTTTCTGAAGAAATAACTAGATAACAAATTTAATTCCCATAAATGAAGTGCTGCTGCTATACTTTAAACAGACAGAAGTAAATATGACCAGTATGCATGTGGCATAGATGTCATAATCACACATACAACAGTTAATGAAGCAAGACAGCCCAACGTTATCCTTACTGAAATGATCATATGACAGATGCAATGCAAAAGAGAAAAACAAGTTACAATCTTAAAGGCTAAAATAAAAAAAAATAAAAATCATATATTTATAGGGTAAAGAGTTTTCATGCATTTAAGAATTGTTTCAAATCTATTTTTGTTGTAAAGGCCAAACAAACATGATTGCATGTTTCAAGAGGCCAACTCTGTGATGTATACTTTAACAATGTGTTTACAATGATCGTCAACCAGCGGTTCTGTTTACCCGGAGTGGTCTGTAAATACTGACATGGGTTTTGACAGCCAGTGTATATTAAAGATTAATCGTAGAAGGACCAACCAGCTGATCAGAATGTGTGGCCAGTTATAGCAGTTGTAGTCAAAACAAAAAAGGGTGAAGTGACGATAAGTGAGATGGTCTCTCTGCACCAGGAAGACATTACACCTCACGGTTTGTCAGCAGTACAGCCAAAGTGGACTGACTGACAGTTAGTATCTAGAATGAGACTGCCAGGGCTGAGGGAGCAGGATAAAAAGAGGAAAGGAAGCGCTTGAGATCAATACAGGGATACATTGACTTACAAGAATAAATAAGACATAATTCACATATAGACATGTGGCACACTATAATACTGTTTTGTTTTTAAATTCAAATACAAAGTTGCATTTGTACAGACACGTGAATTTGCATTTACATTCCTGGTGTGACTGATGCATACAACATAATACATCTATACGACGGGATAGGAGATGACGTACCTCAATGTGGATGATGTTCTGCAAGTCTAAAGTTAATGAAGTATGGAAATTCAAAATGAAAAATGAGCACAGAGTGAGCTTGGATAAAGTGTCCTTTGTTTCTATTTTTAGCAGAAATATCATCAGCTATGTGGCTGGAGCTTGGTGATGATTGACAGGGTGATGAAGGATGAAACGGTGGGCGCCCTCTGCTGGTGGAGGATGAGATGACAACGGGATGACTGCCAGATGGGAACGGATCAGGACAGAACACTGGTGTTCTGTGAATCCACGTCTTGCATGCTCATGACATCTGTACTTACTCCGCTCTCGTATGTAGGGTTGTCGAAAGCTGACTCTTCTGTCATGTTGTCATACGGTGGCAAGGATGATGGCATTCTGATGGTCTTCCCTTGGAGTCTAAGGTAAGAGTAGGGAAACAGGGAACATTGTGTGAAGACACGTTCAATTTCAAATCAAATAAACTGTTCTTTTTAAAGTCACTCCTTACTTTGCAAAGTAGACATAAATCCCGAGAACCACCACCAAGATGATAGCGGTTGGAATTAAAACCGCGAGGGTAATATTGGTTCCCTCCATGTTATAATCCATATTTACAACTAGAAAAAACAAAAACAGGTATTAGTTTTGTGAAATATGCAACGTTTTTACATAATTTGAAGAAATTTTCACAAGGTGATTGTGAGATATCGCTTGATAAATAAACTCACCATCCAACCTGCGTTCGTTCACATATTCGGTTGTGGATGCTACAAAAAGATACAATTGCACTGTAGTCAGTATTGCACCACCTAACACAACCTAATGTTACAATTACATACAATGCATATCCTTGCACTCACAAAAGCAACAAAACTCAGCACACAATAACAAGGCCAGTTCTCATATGTGACAGCTGTAAAAAAACAAAAAGGTTTGCTAAACAGAGTGCATGGTTTACCTCTGCAGGCAGGTGGAGTGCTGTTCCACTGTGACGGGTGTCCGGGGATGCAGTAGATGTTGGCATCACCCTGCAGCTCGTAGCCCGAGTGGCAGGAGAAGCTAAGTACCTCCCCGGCTTGGTAAAAGGCCTTCTCAGAGCTCTGCACGCTGGTGGAGGCGGCACCGGGGTTCCTGCATGGCTCGTACTTCTCAGCTGAGAGTCACAAAATATTGCAGGGCATCTTTTTCAACTGTAGGAACACTGAGAGCTCACATGAACACATAAAGAGGCAACACGCCAAGACATGAAACGCAAGATTGACAATTTATGTTTTAGAACTTTTAAGAGCCTAACTCAGTGGTTCTCAAACTTTTTCTGTCGGGCTCCACTTTGGAGGAAGGAAAAATGTTGGGGCCCCACGGCCCCAACAAAAATGTAACAAAATGGTCCATGCTGAATTTTTATTAAAATAAGGACATTTTGTGACTCTTTGTGTGCTTTTATTAATAATAGAAAAAATAAAATTTAAGTCACTTTCCTGTAAACCAGATTGCTCGCCAGTGCTTCACAGCAGCACACTGATCCTTAATTACTATGGATGGGTAAAATGCAGATGAGATTAATGAGATTAATTTCCGCACGTGGGATTAAGACAATATTATAAATAAAATAACAATAATTTAAGAAAAACTGTAATACATCCGCACCCCACCAGAGGGTCATGCCCCACAGTTTGAGAACCACTGGCCCAACTCATGACAGGCGGAGCTATTGTTATTTCTCACTGAGGAAAGAGAGCCTTACGGGCACACTTTGGTAGCCTCTCGTTCCACTTGGGTGTGGCTGAATCTCGGTTGTAGCAGGTGAGGAGGCTGCTGCCAGACAGGATGTAGCCTTTATTGCAGACAAAGTGCACCGTGGAGCCAACGGTGAAACGGTTGCCTGCGATCACCTTGCGACTGTGCTCCACGTTTCCTGGGTCCTGGCATGTCATCACTGGTGGTTGAAAAAGCAAAAGATGATTGTGTGTTATCAGTAGTGGTAATAGTGGAAGTAGTAGGAGAAGAGCAAAGGAAATGCTAAATAATCTCTCTCTTTATGTGTATGTACTTTAATGTGTTAAATTACATGACCACTAGGTGGTGGCGTATCATTAAATAATCTGTAAATAGATACAACATAATGTGTAAGATGATTAGACATTTGTAATAACAGGAAGCTTATTGAAAGCAAGTGAGCTAAAAAAGTAAAAGGTCTAATTAGGGTTTATTATTTTACCTGTTTGTAATGTTCTCTTTTCTGGGACACAAATATGTGATAAAATTAACAAACATTTGTCAGAACAATTTCATATTTTCAAATATGGCAATTTCATAGCCATAATTCTAGAAGTCAGCTTGAGGCATAGAGGTAAACCAATATCATTTGAGTTCATGATGCGATCTGGTCGGAGGTCCCCCCCTCACTTGCTGAACATATGAAGAAAACAGCAGTATTTGTTTGCTTCTTCTCACCTTCCTGACATTTCGGCACATCGGCGCTCCAAGTGAGATCCCACTGGCACATGAGGATCTCAGAGCCCACCAGCTCAAATCCAGGGTAGCACTGGTAGGTGATGACGGTGCCGTGGACGAGGTCGGGGTGGGACGTGCTCTTCCAGCCGTTGGTGATCTCCGGCAGCTCGGAGCAGGTGTCGTTCCTCGGCACCTCTGGTGACGACGGAGCAGTAAAAGAGAGGAGAGGCTGAATGGAAGAATTTTACAGACATCCTTCCTATTTATTGAGCTACATCAAGGAAAGACTAAAGTAATTCTTGGTTCCAATTTTCTTATGTGATCTTCATTCTTTATTTCGTATTGTTAAAGAACAAAAATGACGTTCCTTAAATAACTCATTGCATTGATGTATAATAACATCCTGACTAGTGGTTGTATAGGACTCCAAAATTGTCTGTGTGCGCTGAACAGCGGCAGTTTGAAAGGACAATGGTTCTCTATGAGTAACACAGCCTGTGATTTGGCAGCAGTCAATCTGCGCCTCCCTAACAGTACAGCACAGTGCCAAAAACACAAAGCGCTGGGCAAAAACAGCTGATTTTAAAGTGTGCCCTATTATTTTGTCTCTGTGCTTGTTGTTATCTCATCCTCTGCACCTGGGATAAGCCAGAAGAGGGGCAGTGGCACATCAATGGAAAGAGGCAGAGGCAGAGAAACAAGACTTTTTTGTAATTGGTAATCTGATGGTTTATAGGAACACATAACATTTTACATGGCGCGCTTGGTATAATTTTTTCATTTGCTTGTTTGTCTTGCAATATGAATTTTACACAAAAGGTTTATCATACATTTCATTTGAAGAGAAAGCTATGGAGTGCAGCTAACCAAACCAAACAACATTTTATTTTGTAAAACCTTACCAAAGAAGTGGACCACAAAGCCATTGTTGTATCCAAAGATGTTGGTGGCAGGATCGGATTGAAATTGAATAGTAACATCAGCCATGGAGGTGTACAGCTTGAAGTGTGGACGTGTGCCACTGTATTGGCCCAGGATGTTAGCCGTCAGGTCGTCCCCGTCATAGAAGGTCAGCAGATCATTCTTACCAACGTGGAGACTAGAAGAGACATAAAAGAAAGTGGTTTTCCTAATTATAAAAAATGATGGTTTTTCATAGTAGAAATGCTTTTAACATATGAGTGATTGATATCTGATGAAAACATTGCTCACGGCATAAGGCAATGTCAGCAGTACTTGGAAATATTAATTCTGTTTATATTGGATAGATCTGATCTGAAGTAAACACTAAATAATTCATGATGTATGTCTCCCCTCGTCCCTCACATGGTCTCATGAATATGTACCATAGTGTGTATCTGCAAATATATGAGCATAATAAAATGTGATCTTTTTGCTCACAAAAAAGCCAGCCGCAATGCATGACAACAAGGCTTAGAGAAATATAATGGTCCCTAAATGCCTCGGGTAAGTAAATAATAATCCAGCAAACAATCTCAAAATCGGAATGTTAGCAATAATCCGGATACAAAATTGAATATGAAGCCGCTGTGCCACAGTTGGACAGGATCTCTGCTGTCATTAACTTAAGAATGCATTAACCTTTTCCCTTTGGTGATTTGGATGTCCTTGCTCCTTTTATGAAACACCAGCAAAGCCTGACATTTATTCACACACACGGGTGCTGGAGAAAGTGTAGTTCCCTGCTGATATAATAGTCAGGGGGAAGTAGTTGCTCTTTATGTCTCTTGAGGCGGGAGTCGAACCAGCAGTGCAGAATGACCGTATGGTTGTTTTGTGTTACATCCCCAAGCTGTGTTAAACAGAACTTTAGAGAATTAATGGCACAGGGCCGTTCTTCATGCACGTCATATAGGATGTAGGAGCCCCGCTTTTGTGGTTGTTAATCACCCACCCACTGCATGAGCTCATCAACAAGCAATCAAACTGTTCAGGAAAGCATGATTTTCTAAAAACCGTCGCCGTTAACAATCCCCACAGGTTTTTTCAATTTCTTTGGTTATCAATGCAAATTACAAGTTCCAACGCCAGAAAAATTGTATATCTTGCTCCAATGTGACTGTGTCAAATCGTGCGTCATTGTTTCTTACCCTGTCTTTATTTCTTCTTAATAAATATGAGTTCTGAGTTTATCAACATTAGGTTAAAATTACTGTCAAAATATTTGCTACATTAGAAAGCATAAGTTACCAACTTCTGTGTTCTCAGATTGCAGAAAGGAACAGAAATGCAAAGTAAAGATCATAGAAAGTAGACATGTATACAAAACACGAATGTAATGCCAACATTTAAATTTAAGCAATAGGTCAGCAGTTGAACGCTAAAATACATCCCAGTAACATACAGTGCAGTACTTGAGGTTAAATTAAACAGAGAGAAATTAGTTGTCACAAATATTTTTCAAATCACTCAGAAAATATAAATCTACAATTTCGAGAAAAACATATTGCCGCAAGCAGTCATTGCAGACTAAAACCCCTTTTTTTTTTGCTCAACAGAAGGAAGAAGCTCAGTTGCCAAAATCAAAACAGCAGGCAGTAAGTAGTAAGGGGGATTCAGGCTTTCAGGCGGCACAAAGCTGAGCAAAGTCATTTCAGCTGGTTTAATTCTGTCCAAAGAAGGAGTAGGACCAATCACACACTTCTTCCATCGTGAGACTGTATGCGGCTTTTCAATAATTGAGCCCTCAAAGTCCCGTCAGTCTCATTTCACAGGAAGCCTTTCGGGGACATATTTTTAAGCCTAAATAAGAATATCCAGCAAGTTTGATGATCTTTGGACAAACTGTCACCGATTTATGGCCATATTTGCACCCGGCCTACGCATATATTCCACATGCGTGCAACGGCCCAGTTCGGATCTGGCCACTGCTTGCACCTCCGGTTGTAATGATTATTATGACTATTTATGATTTATTTTAGGATTTGTGTTATGCCACGCCCATTTGTTTTGCATTTTTTGCACCCGTAGTTGCTTTGTATGAACTTTTAGGGTTCATTTGAGGTAAAAATGTGGACATATCCTGCAGGATTATTAAATGTTAGCGAAATGTTAATATTTTGGTCTATTTACGCGCTTAGTCTCACCAGATCCACAGATAATTTGGTAGCAATTGGACAAAGGGATTTAGGAAAAGGTGTCAAAAAGTGTATTGGCTTCCTTGCCCAAAGAACCTTATTTTCTCTTTGCATTTAAATTAACCTGTGAAATCACTGATTTGAACCACGTGCTGGAATGTGTCTGCTTTTTTTCTCACTTGTGGTGTCATATTGTTCCAAACCTTACAACCTTATATTTAATATACACTGCACAGACTAAATTAACGTCTGTTATTTTGTAGGAACAGACAGAGAATATAAAGCTTCTGACTGGGCTTCATTGTCTATGATTGACACCCTTTCATGATAAAATAAAACAAATGACCTCAATCTTTTTTCCTTGCCTCAATCTCTTCTTCACAACTTCCCCCACACATTTTCTACATCACTGCTGAAACAAAAAAACATTTTGGCCCCATTCACCCAGATTAGAAACATATCTTACATATTAATGTTGACAATCAGCGTTATACAACAGTTCATGAAATTAGAGCAATAAAGTGAATAGTGATTGTCCTCTAGTTGAGGATTAAAACCCTCCGGCGGCAAATATGGCGCAATAACATAGATAGAATGACTGTATTCCACTCTGTGACGGTGCAGTGTGCCGGTGCTGAAACGAAAACGTCACAGCCAGGATTTCATCTTTTCCTGATTGACACGCAAAAGAGACGCCGGCTGCTTGAATGGCGGTGAAATGAGGGGCTGAGTGACAAGGTACTCCACCCCGGTTAGTTGGACAGCTTCGGGGACAATTTACACCTCCATGTTCTCCAACAGTAAGAGGCTGCGATGAAAGTGACAGGTTATGAAAATGCCAGTCTCCATTTCCCAAACCGCCATGAGAATAATTTGTGTATTTAAATATGTGCATTTCAAAAACACCATAGATAAGCAAAAAGATACAATCCAAAGAATATGCTAGTGCTGTTTTCACACTCCGACATTCATTGTTATATATTTGTCTTTTTTGAGGCGTATATGATGGATAGGATGCAGGCTTGCTCACACTTTGTGACTGAATGGAATTATCAGGAGGTGCCACAATAAAATAAATAAACATGAGTGTAGTTCACAGAGCAACACCAACGCCATCTTTTCTGATCTCCACATCTCACACTTTCACTTCTATTCTTCCTCTATTGTCCACCTGCTACTCATGTCAAGTCTCTCCACCTTTTCATTACTCCAGATTTCACCTTATCTCCCAAGGGTTGTTTTTGTTTTTAGACTACCCTCGAAGGAGAGGTATTGGACTGTCAGTGGGCAATATGTGATTATGTCCAGTCTCTGGTCTGCATTTGTTGAAGTCAAAACTATTACGACACCTGCCGCGTCCATTTTGCAGTAAGTGCTGTCTAGTCCTTCACAGAAAATTGTCAAATGGATCTTTTCCTTAATGACTCTTATTCTAACGCACTCTACGTTCCCTCACTAAGGTGCGGTGAAAAACGAGTCAACCTGTATTGTATTGAACGTGATGAAATCTGATTAAAAGACTCATCTCCTTCTTTGGCGAACCTACGTCTGCAGCGGTCATGCAGACACGAGGAACCCAGTCACCTCATAAACAATTCTGATGACGACTTTTGTTTTTGAAGTCCCCGACTGTCTGCGTGAGGAGCTTTCGAAGGTCTGGTGACAACACAAAAAAGTGCCTTCAGTTCAGGATCAAACAGCACTCTGTGGGGACTCAGACTCCAAGCTTTTTCAGCTGCGTTCTCTGTAGCAATCTGGCAATCACTTCACCCAAATGTCTTCCCACCTGGCTCCTCTAAAGGTGCTGTGCGAACCAATCTTCTAAATAAATAGTTTTACTCTTTCTCCTATGTTTTCTTTATATTTTGAAGTAACATTAATTGTTATCAGTCTAACATCAGGTTATGGTCATTTTGACTTCTGCATTACTTTTTGTATCTTTCATCCTTTTAATATTTAAGACACAAACAATGAAGCTCAGCTCTGGTGACATTCACTTTACTGCTTATGTTGCTTTCAAGTTCAAATTAAAAAAAAGGAAATAAGCGTCAAGTCATTCGAGTACAATGCATAATGGCACAACTGATCGTTAAACAAAAGCTAAAAGCCTGAAACTACTATTAGTCAGAGGGATGTGCATGACCGGTGAAATGGTAAATTTTCATAAGTAGGGATGCAAAAAACCTGTATTATACCAATGTAATGGACTATCCGATTCAAATGCCTCCTTCATCAACGTGACTTGGGTATTTAGTTCTAGGGTTCTGTTTTGTAAAAGGATTTTGCCTTTAGAGAATTTCTGAAAACTTGCCTGCATGCCAATAGCACAAGCTCCATTCTGCAGATGAGGGGATGACTGCTGTGTTTTGTTCAAGCCTCCAGGCGTTTGTCACCTTCACTGACCTGCCAAGTCAGAAGAACCTGACAAATAACCTCTAACAGAGTGGAAATTGCTTTCTACTTATATTCAAAAATGTATTTGACATCAAAAAAAGGTTATCTTTTAAAAGAAAAATAGACAATAATATCCCAGGCAAGTATAGTTGCAATTGGCAAGTAATGCTCAGAATCTCCACAAGAGGACCCTATAAAACCCAGTATGTCCTTTCTGATCCTGCTCAGCAAACAACATCACAGCTGTAAAATCGACTTTACCCATCGTGTTCAAACGTGTAACGCAGTTCTGCTCTGAATTCTAAAATCCACATGTCAATTACTTTTACCTTGTTGTGTTCCACAGGTGGGGATATCAGCTGCAACCTCTTGTCTCCGGCTCTTGCTCAAGCCATGCTCCGAGGTAATTAGCAAAGAGCCAGCCCTCCTGTTTGGCCTAAATTAATTAATCAGTCCTCATTATGCACACTGCTCAGCTGTAATTGCCAGCACAGGCACAGCGATGAATGATAATACAGAAAACATTCTCATTATCGCGGAAAAGTGTGTGCCCACCCTTTATAATGAGTCAGCTCTCAGCCACAGGAGCCTTTCATCACTTAAACACACACACACAGTTCATGTACAAAAACATAAATAGTTGACCTGGCCTTTAAGAATGCTATTCTCAAGATCAGCGGGCTGGACATGAGGGTAATGGGAGGGTCTGCAAGAATCATACAGCTGTGGGTTCCTACTGCCATGAAGGCCATGCATGACCAACCTTGAGATAAACTAAATCTGGCCAAAGCCCCATTAAGTCCCAGCGAGGGACCTCATGTGGGTCTGATTAAAACAAATATCGGGATGGTGCAAGTTTAAGAAGAGATCTCTGAATAAAAATGTGTTCAAACTGGTTTACTTCTACATGAAGGAACGGAAGAAATCCTCTCTGGTCTTTTTAACCCTTTTATCTCCAATTTAAAAACATGGATGCAGGCAGGGTCATATAAACGTCCTGTGAGGTATGAAGACTTTGTGTATTAATGGTATCCTATGATGCTATTGTTCCCCGCTCGATCTGTTGATCATATTGTAGTGATTGCTCATATCTCTATTAACACAAAAATGGTTTCACCACAGAAGGGTGTCCGTCTGATGTAGATCTGTAAGGATTTCACATGAATTTCATATAATCCAGTGGACTAACACAATACGTAAACAAAAATGACTTAACTAGGAAATAGATATAAAATATTATTTTTATTTTCATGAATACGTGTTTTCTAGGTTGTCTACCGCTGTGCTGGATTGCAAGGTATGCCCAGTATCCAGACCCCATGTGATAATTAAACCTGGCCACAGATGAATTAACTGTTAATATTCAGAGCACAACATAAAAAATAGAAATGACCAAAAAGCAAACAATTACTTTAGTTTGTTCCGGCCTCGGGAAGTATTCCCGAGGGTTTCATTTCAACCTCCCTGCACCCTAGGGTGTGCAAGTGCTTCAAGCTATGACAAACAAATCCCTTATTTTGTAGTTATTGTGCTTCCTACAGGATGCGTGTCTGTGGAAATACTGCTCGGATCACAAGGAAGGAAAACGGATGAATGCATTTGAGACAAAACAAAGAAGAAGTTGCACATTATCATGTTCACACCTCGATAGTTTGGTTTTAAAAGAAACAACTAGTCTAATGAAGAAAAAGACAGAAATGTGATCACCTGACATGACAGCAATAACTTTGGTGTGTTTGGATGGGACACCTATGTCCACTCAGTATGAAATCGGTGTTCCCGAGTCTATTTTACCGCCTGTGTGCATGTGTTGAATTGGCTGTACTGTAGGGGAGGCTCAGAGTAGTTCACTGCCAGAGCATATTCATTTCAAAGCCAACTGTGAGACACCCACCGGGGAAGTGGGAGCAGGGAGGCTTACTGGCTAATCTGGTCAGAGAGCGAGCTGGAACCAACACAGAATTCTTAATGTAGCGGATGAAAAAAAAATCTAATTAGTGACTTCAACCACAGAAACACTTTCCCTATGTGCGTTTTGTAAGGGTGTCTCTCTGACTGAGAGAATCGATGAGAAAGAAGCGTTGAGTGTGTTTGTATTTGAGTGTTTGACATCTCGAAGGCAATCTGACCTCCTCCTCTGACCTCCCTGTGTGATTCCTAGTCTTACACCTGAGTGCAGTCTCTTACACTTGGATGTCAAGCATGATCCTCTTGTCCTCTTCCACATGGATACCCCAGATGCAGTCCTGCCCCTTGTCGTAGGCCTCAGGCCAATTAGGAGACAGCACCACACCAGCAGAGTCTGTGATCTCCCCGCTGCACACAGCTGCAACGCACAAACACCTCAGGTTGAAACAAATGTCTGTTTTGTAACAGATTTCCAGACACAAAGTGTTGATTATAATACAAATATAACATTAGGAAATGAAACATCAAACGACGCAAAGTGGTGGTGTGCAGGTAAGGTGGTATATACATGAACATACATGAGCTGCTATGTGACTTCAAAGAACGGAAACTGGCCTTAATCCTCAATAAAGCACATCTGAAATGGAGTGGGAAGCCTCCTTGACGTGAACCTTGTGAAACCGCACGCTAGCACTAAACCGCTTGATGACCATGACCCACGGGAGTAGAAATTAAATTTCCTTACATCTAGCTTTACAGGAGAGCTTTTCAATTTCCCAGCGTGGCAGAAGGACCATGCAGGCGACAAAGAGTGAGCATAAGGTCAGCGTCTGTGTGTGCCTGTGTGTGTGTGTGTGTGACTGTGAGGGAAGAGTGATTGAGAGAGAGAGAGAGAGAGAGAGAGAGAGAGAGAGAGAGAGTGATGAAAGAAGGGCTCATGGATTGCTATTATGGCGCAGTGTGGAAGTGTTCATCTTAGGCCAACTATTGTATGCCTTTTTAATCCCAAGCACTACCAAAGTCTGCCCTGCAAGCACACATATCAAAGTAAATCAATGTTGCAATACTAAAAGGAAATATATCGTGGATCAGAGAAAAGCAGCTTAGGAAGATACGGTTAACTGCCAGTGGTCTTAAAATATTTGGATAAAAAAATTTCACAAACTCCTAAAATGATCAGGCAGACGAGCAAAGCTTCGGGTCCTCGGGTCAGTCCCATCTGCCTCTTAAAATCTGCTGCAGTGTGCTGCGGCACATTGCTTGTGAATAGATTTCGCATCGCTAAATTACTCCAGCGGATGAGGTCTGTTGACTCACCCCTGCAAGCCGGCTCAGTCTCATTCCACTGAGGGTTTTGTGAGTCCACGCACTCAATCACTACGGAGCCTTGCTCCAGCGTGTACCCGGGGTCACACGAGAACTCAACCACCGCACCCACGTTGTAGTTGGAGTCACCGCCGCTGAAGTTGCCGTACTTGACGAAAGGCTCATAGCACATGCCTTTCGCAAAAGCTGCAGATGCAAAAAACACACACACACACACACACACACACACACACACACAACATCAGACCCGAGTGACAAGGCGCTGATTTGTCTTTAGTAGCTCTGCAGGCTGCATGTTCAAACCTGCCTTCGTATCTGATCGCTGCACCGGTGGAGGTCAGCGTCCCATCTGTGGTGAACTCTACAAACAGGTAACGTTCAGTGCTGAGCACACCCTCATTGGGCAAATACTCCACCTCATAGGAGTCGTACACGGGGGGAGAGTCGATGTTGTTGCCATTCTTAATCAGCAGCCTGCAAGGAAACAAACACACACCAACACGCCAAAGGAAAGCAGTTTAGAATAGACGTAAGTGAGCCTTGAAAGGTAAGAGAAGCGTTAAAAGTTCCAAACTATCTGAGAGCTGCTCGCTGTTCCAGTTGTGGCTGTAATAACTTTGTGATAACATTCTCCAACACTCGGTAATGAGGTGAATGGCCATGTGTGACGATAGTCATGTGGATCAGTAGTCTCTGGAGAAAAATGTAATGCAATTGCTGTTTCCTACCACTCCCTACCCCTCTGCAGTCCCTCCAATTCATTCGCTTGATGGAACACTGTTAAAGGATTATAATGATAAAAGGTCCCTTCAAATTCATCTGACACTGCCAACAGATTTTGGTTATTTATAGCCTCTATCCACAGTCCTACTGTTATACAGAAAATTAGTTTAAAGCTCGGTGATGATACCTGAAGACACACACAACATCCGCGGCGTACACACTGTCTTATAAAATACAATTGATTTGGTAAATTATTATTTTTTTGCAAAGTGCATACACAACCTGTCATCGTCCTCTGCCAGAGCCACCTTCTCAAAGTGAATGTGGAGCCGATGGCCTTCGGGGGCCTCCAGGACCCAGTGGCACGTCAAGTTGTTGCTGTAGTTGCCAGGGAAACCAGGAGAGACAATTCGACCATAGGTAGCATTTTTTATCATTCCCCCACAGGATGCTACATGAGAAGACAAAGAGAAGAGAAAAAGAGGAAGGAGACAAAAACAAGTTGGATGGTAGGATTATATGAGAAAGGTAATAACACCTATGGGAGGAGGGGGGTTCGGAGCCAACCCTTTTGTGAGCGTGGATTGCATCAATATTCAGTGGATTACGGCCGGTCTACACTAGGGAGCCAACCTGGGTCTAAGAGTGTGTGGCGGTGTGCGATGGACATGTAAAGAAAAGAGCCAAACAGCAGCACCAGCTGTATCGGTCCGGAGCAGCTGCATGCAGGCGCAGAGAAAAGACCGGAGCTGGCAGATGAGCCTTTACTAGCAGGAGGAGGGATAGTCATGCAGCCCGAGATCTAATTAAGTCAGACAGGTCCAATGGCATTTGTTCTTTGCCGTGACTCCAAAGAATAGCTCCCCGCGCCGGTAATCACATACAAACACACTCATTTGGTCCTGTGGTGTAACTTATCGACTCGATGCGAAAACAACCTCACGAAAGCTTCCATTAATCAAAATCACCCGAGGAAAGCTAAGGAGAGGAGGGTTTACAACACGCAATATATGAATTATGAATTTTAATTTAATTAGCATATTTTAATCGTACCATTTGTTCTGTTGGATTCAGAAAAAATGGATTTATCAAAGCGTCTTGGAATCCATTTGGATAAATGTATTTACAATCGCAGCTCCGCCCCCCCGAGCAAGCGTTAAGCACTAACCATAAAGTGGTGAAAAAAACATTAAATATCAAACAAAAGATTGAACAGCGGTGAAAATAGCCTTTTTTTTTTTCTTCTTTTGATGCAGTTCAGCGAGGCGCAACCTCACTGCCCTGACTTGGCCGCCACTGCCACTTCTTGTCCGTCAAAGGAGCAGTTGGTCTTACCGACACACCGGGGCTCCTTTCCACTCCAGTAGGGCGTTGTTGCATTGCGACACGTGAGCATTTTGGCACCTTGCAGCTTGTAACCGGTGAAACAGCGAAAGTAGGCCCCTCCGCCAGGGTGCAGGTGCGTCACGGAAACTTCTCCACCAGCCGGCTCTTTGGGGAATGCACAGCTTAGCACAAAGGCTGGGGAAGAGGGAAGGGGGAAGAAGAAAAATGATAGAGTGCAATGGTTGAGGCTTAATAATAAATGCAGAAAAAAACAGTAAAACTTTTTTCCTGATTATTTTTGGTATTGCTGTGGCCAGTAATGGGCCTCAACTTCTAAGCAGGATTTTTTTGAATGAATATAAATATATTTAGTGGCATACTATGGAGGAGGATAGATACACTAATTTCTTAGTGTAATTTTGTCATCTGTCCAATGTGTAACTAAACCTCCCAGAAAAAGGAGTCAAACTGCTTAAACAAAAAAAAAAAAAAACTCAACTATGTTAATGAAACACCTTATCCAGGCACCTGCTTGGTCTGACTTGTATCACAAATTTTTCATATGTTACCAGCATCCCGCTGAGGGAAATTTTAAATGTAAAAATAAAGAATGAATATTTCATTCTGCACAAAAAATCCAATTCTGGCCAAAACAAGAGGCATGTTAACTGGCTTCACAATGTAATCCTCTGTGTCCTGCATTGTGTTCCGTATAACTCCTGCTGTTGTGGTGCATTATTGACCGTGTTATCTCCCCTCCAAAACACCACACAGCACCAAAACATATTTAGATACAAAAAGGGAAAGAAAATAATTGATTTTCCATTCCAAAATGCATTCCGGTTTTCGTATCACTCGCTCTCTCTCTCTCTCACACACACACACCCACACACACACACACACACACACAACAACCGTCAACTTTGTTCATAAACACCCCCAGCTCTTAATGAGTCGAAGTTCACCAGTTGGTGCAGTATGTGAATGTACAGAGACGCGTTTGCAGCACTACAGTAATTAACATCACCGTGTGGTCCGGCATAGGGCCACTGCACACACTCTGACAAATGGAAACGTTGCTGACTAGCTGAACATCATCAGGGCCGTAATGTGATGGTTGGAAGAGGAAATGCCTCTGCAGTGGTTGTCAAAGAGTCGTGATCTTAGCGGGGGAAGATCAATGTTCCTGGACTTGGTTTGCTTTGTTGTCCTGTCCTTGTTTTTGAATAAATGGTGTAGGATGCAATGGAGTTCACATGGATAATGGAGTGAGCTAACCGAGTCTGTAATGGAAGCTATTAAACAGCCTTCTCTTTCTGTCTAACGGCCACACTGTTCTACCTCATTAGTGTAGGGACTCTAATGACTCGACCAAAACTTCTAAACTTCTGGCAATGTTTGAATAACAAAACAAGCAACCTAATTGGAACCACTTTGGATTGTGCTGCGATCGCATTGTGACTGTGAACCGGCAAATTTACACAAGCTTTTTAAAAGCCGCAACTTTACTCAAACTTTGCGAGATACATGTTCTGTGTCAGCTCAATGGAGTGCATGCAAAGCATTTACAGTATTAGGAAAAAAGCATTGTGAAAGATTTATCTGCACTGCACTTGTGCTTGCAGTCTTAAAAGCAATTATGATGATAATCGGCCACGCGTATGTAGTGTGTATATACCTTAATCGTATTATGATTCATTTTTATTGTTTACAGAATTGATAAATAGACCATAGAAATGTACAGCATCATAGTTGAAGAGTTTTTTGGTATAAGCCTGTTTCTGTTCACTTATTACATCCTATTGTGCCAAAGGCAACTATTTCTTTTGGCTTTATTGAACATTACAGATCCCTGTAATATCCACTGATCCAAAGTGCCCTGATAAACCATCTCCAACTGTTTAATGATTTCTACTCCTTATGAAGAGTCTACGGACAACAACATCATACATATAGCGCATGAGGGGAGGCCACATGGGCAAAAAGAAAAAACATTTTATTATAGCACACATGATTACAGTAATATATTTGAGGTCTTTGTATGCTGAAACGCACGGTTAGAACGCGACATTAGACGCTCTGCACGAGTGTGAATATAAAGTTTTTCCTTTCAGAAAATCATTTATAGAAGGACAAAAAAACAACTTTAGTCATGCTTCTAACATTACCTCGAAGAAACTGGCTATTCAAACATTATTGTTATTCTATCAATTGTTGAACTTGAACATAAGAGAAAACAGCCCTAAATGGGTAATGGCCATAACGGCTTGTGAAGCTGCCCCCATCTGCTGTGTTTTTAACCTACCGACTTTGGTTATTCTTTCACACAAGCCACTGGTTTCCACCATAATGAAACCAGCCTTTCTTTTGCACTAAATCAGTGAGCCCCAGGGATGAGGTGCACTGGCCCCAAGTCATCCATTCAATTCATAGTTTATCACTAGCTCCAATGAACCTGGTTATTGTCATTATCATAGCTGCATTTACATCCCTATTGAGCATACAGCGGGAGAGCCAGAGGCACAAAACTGTGGAGCCAATTCTTGAAGTATTAGAGGCGTGCGCCCCCCCCCCATTCCAGGGAATGTGGTGATGGGCCATAAAGCCTGATTGTTTTGCCATTACAAATAATAGATCCACGGCGCAGACAGCCAGGAAGATTAGCTGATGGCACTGTAGGGCCACGGGAAACAGATGCGTCCTCAGTTATTGTTTCCTTCTAGGGGAGGACATATTCACAATGGTCATATGCATGCTAACATTTCAGCTGCATTTGTAAGGAATATTATTTCTTCTAAATTTCAGCTTTTGCAAAGATTTTTTTGTTTTCTGAATGGTGAGAACTAAAGACCAGTATTAAGATTGTCAAATTGTGGAATTCATCACCCCTCTGCATTTTTTCTTTCCGAAATGCAGTGTTTAGATGAAGGAGGGCATCACACGTCAAATATTTGGAGACATTACTGACAGAAATGCCTTTATCACAAACATATTTTACAAGTGACATGATTTGGTTCTAACCGTGAAGCTCTTTGTGTGTGTTAGTGTGTGTGTGTGTGTGTGTGTGTGTGTGTGTGTGTGTGTGTGTGTGTGTGTGTGTTTGTGTGCTGCGTGGTAAAATATGGTCCTGGAGACAACTACTGTAGCTTCCTAGATGTGTTTAGTTGAAATTAAAATGAAGGTTGAGTTTGAAGACTGGTGGGATACGAAGGGGCCATTGACCCCCTTACTTTGTGCCCCTTGCTTCAGTTTGTCATCAGACATCTCAACAGGAGCTTAAAAAATAATTTCACTTAATATTTTGTCATTTCTCGGTGGTTATTCCCAACCGTTCAAGAGGAACACATCCTGTTGCACTTTCTTTCTTTCTCCCTCTCTTATCAGTCCATGAGCAATGGATTTGTCCTGGCTTCTTTGAATGTAAAGTATTTCTGTTCAGATTGCTTCCATGGCCTTTCTCACCTTCCTGAAAATCAATTAGAACCCTGAATTTGTGTTTAAAGTGAAATAATTAGCAACGCTTTCTTCAGCACTCAGTCAAAAGTTGCAGAGGAAATCGTTGAAAGGAAGTAAACACTCACTCCTCCCGTTAATGAGCCTTATTCTGCTGCATAGAGATTTTTCATTTGCCAATCGGAAAAGCTGCTGCTCCGCCGACAATAAACACAATAGATGAGGTGAGGAAGCTAGTAAAACACAGTTATCCACAGTATTTGGGAAGACCAATAAAATGCATTTAAATCAATAATGTTGTATTTCACATGTCACCTGAATCCCCTCAGGAGGAGAGCTGGCCATTAAACTTGGCAACAAGGAGGGAGAAGATAATGAAACAGGGTGACAGAAAACCAAAACCAAATTAATGCAGTGTTGATTGTTATATCTAATGAATATTTTCCACGATGTACTATGTCAACATTTTGAGAGTAAAATGTGTTTCCGAGGAAAGAAAACCCAGAGTTGATGAGTATTCAGTTTCGCTTTTTTTTTTTTACGCTGCCGCAACACTGCAGGCGATTTGTGGGACAGTGCGGCTCACTGTATCCAAGCCCCATGTCGTGCCTGCGCACCCGAGCATTATCCTTTAAAGAAAGATCGATAGTGTTGTCTCTGGGAAAGTGATTCAGTTGTAAAAAGCCAGACCCTCGATCTGCCGTGATATGGTCCGTTGGTATTTATGTGGTTGGGTTAAAAACTCGATTTTAATAGTCATTTACTCAATAAAGGCTATTAAAGAGAAATAACTTTGGACCAGAGGCATCTCATCAATGCCACTGATAAGTTGTGGCAAAGTGGATCACTGCCAGTGGCAGACGTCCTCTGGCCAATAAGTCCTATAAAGCATCATGGCCGTTGGCGACGCCATCGATAACGATCTGTAAGGATGCCTGTAGAAGTTATGATGTTATTTATTATGGCAATCTTTTCAAAAATTAAATAACATGGACATTGTGGTTTAAGTCAATAATGAATTACATTTCGTTTAAAATGAAGGACCGTCTTAATAAAATTGGCCTTAAAGTGTCCAGATTTGCATAACCAGAGTTGCATTTAATTATTAGTACTCAATGCTGAAGCATAAAAATACACCATGACAGGATTACTTTTCTTTCAAAAAGTCAGTACAAAGCCAAAGGATACATTTGCATGCCAGCACAGTTCTATATTTATTCAGTCTGCTCCTGCGGGTGCAAACACTTTAGAATGAAGTATTCTCAATGTGTTTGCATGTAAAATTGCAGTCAATTCTAACTACAAAGTAAAAACGTAATTTCTCAAATGCAGGGCAAGAATATAAATTCCTGCGAAAAAAAGTCACCAGTCCCAATATGTTTTACATTGATACCACTTCCTATGAAATAAATAAAACTCGCACAGCTCATGAATAAATATTGTCTGAATGTAAGCCCTAAATGGATAGATGTGTTTGAATATAGATTGTATACAAAAAGGGTACACTCAGGATGCATTACATACAGGACATGTTTTTTGTATGGTTCTTTGTTATTTGCATGCATTGCTTTATTCAAATATACTTTAGCTGCAGTGGCTGTGTCTGGAAATTATAATTAAATGGACAATGGATGTTCTATGTATATCAGGATACATATGCGTGTGTATTAAGGAAAAAGATAAGGATGAAGATGAAGTTTCCTCATGGCTCACATCTGTCGACACAGTAAAACACACCTATAATCCTGTTCCAAGTGTCAGGCTCATGCCGATGTTATAGAAGCATCCATCAGTCTGTCATTGCCGGCAGAGCCACCGCTGTAGTAGATATTAATTACCGTGAGACGAGATCTATCCCTTAACAGTTCTGTCTCCTTCTCCACGCCTGTCCAATCACATTTCTCATAGCCCATCTTAAAAGACAAGGTGAGATTCAGCTAATCAAGGAGAGGAACACAAATTGAAATCTTCTTCCCATCCGATATGTCTCATCTTCTTCTAGAAATCTGACCACGGCATCTTTCCTCCTTAGATTAATTAAATTGGTCCCATTGAAATTCCAAAGCACACATCTCACTGCCGGGTTTATATATGCCCAACAATGGCAATACAGAACTGTTGGTGAGAAAGAACAGACACGACAGGATCTACATATTTCTTTTTTAGAGGCGAAGTTGACTTCATGCCTTCTTCCAGGGCCGTTGAACCCCTTGATATTAATTCATTTATTTACTTATTTTACTCTCTCCGTTTCTTCAGATACTTCCGTATGCTACACCTAAAATATGGCCACTGCCAAAAACCAGTATATTTCTGTACAGGTACAGGTGTACATGCACACAATTGTCCATTTGTAAAATCAGACATAAAAAAACAAATGACCCTCGTTACGAAGGTGGTGTTGCCATTTTCAGGCTTTCACTTATGGACGTATTGTTCACCTTTTATAATCTAAGATTTATTAAATTGCAAGAAAATAAATCATCAAATTTCCTTACAATACTTTTAGTAAAATATTTGACATGTTCATCTTCCGTTTTGTAACTCTTACATACTAGAAAGCTAAGGTTTGTGGCTAAATCTGCCGTCCATTAGCTTTACATTACTTTTACTTATTAACAAGGGCATGACTTTTGTGGACTGCACAATAAATCTTGGAAAACGTTGCACACAATACTGTATAGGATCTAGACTGAAGAGCAACGAGGGTGAGAAGGAGAAAAGCACACCTATTCACTGTGTTTTTCAACTATTTTTCACCATCTGTCGCCATCAAGCAGAACCCTGTATGATCTGCACCAACCCCTCGCTGTCATCATTCAGCCTGACCACGCAATATTCGCACATCCAACAGCGACGGGGAGATTTATCTCACGTCAGCGCGACAGTTTTGATGGCCGCTTTCAGCTGATGAAAGTACCATAGTAATGTGGTGGAATGAATGTTTTGTCCACCAGCTTCCACCATCAACTCAAATCGATGGGGCATGTAATTGCTGACCACTTTGTGTTATTGCTAAGATAAACAGACTTTGTTGCTGACATGGAAGATCAATGTCACACACACACGAAACATGCAAGAAAAAGGGAGGAATTTATGGGCCATCATATTCAACATCATTCACCAACTCTCTATGCCGACAGATATTGCTGCCCACATAAGTCCCTTTTGTAGTTACTATTTGATCACATTTAATAAATCATTCTGCATGAAGACGAGCCGCAATTGAGTCCCGCCCACACCAGAGGACAACAAGTAATTGCTCTCTGTTGACTTTTACGATGCCTGAAAGTGGCTTACTTTTGTTAGTAGTTGCTAGTGGTCAGAAAAATGAACATGGAAATTGTGGTTCAATGCGGATGAATCTGAAAGCTATTTGAAAAGTTTGCAAGTGCCGTAGCAAACTACAGCAGCCTGGTGCAGCTTACATCATCTTATAGAGGTATTGGTTATAATTTTATAGGCTGAAATCCAAAGTTTTTACCAGGTACTTTTCAATCCTTGGTTGCAAATTGTGGCGCCAATTGTTCTCCGCTATTGTTGGTGTGATTTTCAGAGGCGATCGTTGATTTGTCTCTAATCGTTTTATTCTCTGCAAAGCCCAACGACATTAAATGCTAACAAAACTATTGAAGGTGTTCCAAAAGCAAGCTGTCCTGTTTCATGCCATGGACATCAGACATAATAAGCATGGTTAAACTAACGTGGGCTCGGAATTTATTCATTTATTTGATGTCAAATCTTACGACCCAATGCAACATGTTCTGCTAAATAATAATGACTGAAAGCTGCTTTCCCAATATGACAGTAACATAATTAATGTGCATGAAACCATTGAGAGAAGGCATAAGGACATTGACTGTGACTGCGTATGGCACTGGCTCACCTTGGTAATGCAGAAGAAGAAATCTGTAGTTGTTCGGTTGGTCACTACGAAATCGGATGGAGATCTGATTGCTCCAGCTGCGCAGTACAAGGCCCCTCATCAAGACTGACTCGTTGGCAAGGATGAAGGGTTCCTGGCCACCGGTGTCCTCCACTGTCACCTGCTCTCCCTCTAACGCACTCACATTTAGCACCTAAAAAACAATGTGAGACCATGCAAACATATTACATACCGGCATTCATTGAGGCATTTCTGTGCATCTCTTTTCAAAGGATCTTTATAGAGTAACACATAGTTTATTGTCTTTGCAGCATATTCATTTTCATCCATTCGATTCATAGACTTTTAACTCCAGCACAGAAAATCAAAATCCCAAAGTGTTGACTCATGAGGTTTCAGTTCACCCCAGATGGGTTCTTAATTCAGCCTCCCCTGCTGCTGTGTTTTCATTAAAAGCCCAGTTTAGTCTAATGATGTTGCTATGAAAAGTGGGTCACCTGCTGTGATACTTTGCTCAGATGTCTAACCAACACAGTACCCAAGAATCCGTTTGGTCTGGTAATTTCTTCGTTAACCTGCACCTGAGTGGCAGACACGGGGTCATTCCACTCATGGATTGTTGCATGAATTGACTCACCCTATTCCTGTGTTGGCTCATACCTGTAAGCCACTCCGACAGAAGTGCTTTCTGTCTTCAACAGGTTTGAACAGCATCTGCAGCTAAATCTGGTGAGGTAACCTCAGGAGAATTGCATGTAGTTAAACTGTCTGGATAATGAAGCACTGACACATTTTGGAGCAACATCTTGATTAATTCCCCTGCAAAACTATAAAAGAGGCTTGGTAATCCAACAGCAGGTCAGAGTAATTATTCTTTACCATAAAAAAAAACATCTTCACCTTCGCTTGTGTTTGCAGACTACTGGCTTCAACGACTTCCATGGTGCATGGAGAAGGCAAAAGGTTTTCATTTGTGTTTTAAACAACAGCAGAATTTGACAGACTGAATTTACAGATATCACTTACATATTTCTAAATTCTATATTCAAACATATTTAATCAGGTAAATGTGCATTTAAAATACAAAATATCCCTTCTCACACCCTTATTATTCATTCTGCGTAGCACAAGATCCAACATAGAATCTAATTCAACCAGTTAATGTTTCAAGTTAGAATCATGGCATGTTTCAAAGCTATGATTGGTAGTGGCTTCAGGTATGCCATGAGGCCAAAAGAGGATTGCCCTCCATAGGCCGATGGTCCCTGAGGTAATATGTGTGCAGGAGTGCAACTGTCCAGAAAAGCTGAGACGGTATAGGCACGATGAGCACGTGAAATGAATTTGGCCAGGTTGGCTAACTGTCACTCAGTCGAGGTAGAGCTGACAATGAGCGCAGGGAGGCTAATGGACACTCTGAGAGCGAGCTTAGAGGTGACTTCTTCTTGAATGATCCGCGAGGTCAGCCTCTTTGATTGATTTGATTTTTATCACAACTCGAATTAAACACTCTGGCGGTTTTCAGACCAACTGAAAACACAGAGCGCAAACACTAGATCAAAATAGCAGATATGTGTGTGTGTGTGTGTGTGTGTGTGTGTGTGTGTGTGTGTGTGTGAGTGTCTTACAGAATCACCTCTGACTGTTTTTAATATAAAAACCGTTGTTGCAGGAGCCTCAAACAATCACGTCACAGAGAGTAATAAAGGAATGCCACATGCTTTTAGAATCCCTGTTTCTCAAGGGCAACGGCAATGACAAAGCCTTTGGCACAGTTCTTTTTCTCTCCACTTCTGCCTTTGTGTATCTGAGTTAATACGGAGAGCTTGGATATTATTAAAATCAGGCTGCTTCAGCTACTTGCTCATCTTATAATTTCATAATTTATTCCCCAATACAGCATATCATTATCTTTAAATTCAATTCACATATTTTCAAGGAATGAGACAATGCCATAGATAATTATTCTATGAAAGTAGAAGGTTTTTCACCTTACTATCACATTTTTAATCAAAGAGAATATAAGAATAAATATCTTATTTTCAAAATTTGATTTATTGATTCAGAAAGAAAAGAAATTGCAGCTTATTATTCTCTTTATGTCTGAAATTCAGTCTCAAATTATTATTCCGTAACGTGTTTCTGTTGCCTGCGCCTGTGTAAAGCTGGTGACAAAATGAGAGATGGCTGATATTCCACCATGGTTCATAAATATTTCAGTCAAGCATCTCTCAAAAAAAGAAAAGTCTGACGGTAAATCAAATGTCCCTCTTTTCATATCCCTCTGCGAAAATGGTGGTAGCGCCGCTGCCCCCTCGCCCCCGCCTGCCGGCTTTCCAAGTCTTCTACCAGCCTTTCTGCAATTTTTGGGGCATTTTTGCCTAATGATATCAGAGACTGGAAATCCCAAAATTTCCCAAAATTGTATTTTCATGTAATGATGACAATTCTGAGCTATTTGGGCGAGCATTTTTTAATACCAGCGTTAGACGACAAACTAAACTGCCTGTAAAAACACATCACACATATGGCTAGAAATTACAGTGCTATTCATGTTTTTTCTTTCTTTTTTTTCTTTATCTTTCTTTCTTTTCAATCGAGAGTATGTTTTCCTTACTGCTTCGCCTCAACAGTTTTTTTTTTTATTGCACTCTCAGACATAAGATTAATTTTTGACAATTCCTTGGCTTTTGTCATTGGTATTAATTGTTTGTTTGTACGCAGTCGGATATTGCCACCACTTAAAATCCTATCCAACAAGGTCAAACAGATTGTAGGATGGCGACCTCTTGGTTTACATATACCAGCCAGGCTTATGAAGGACAGGTGAGCCGATAGTGAACAGGGAGCAGTCGGACTGATAACCCCGGTGGGCCCTATCATCTGTCATCCACCCTGGGACCTGTCAGTGCAGCCAGCAACAGCTGTCCTGCCTCAATTATGAATCATTGGCCATGTCAGGAAACATCACACTACCTTATCTTATCCAGTGCTGGAGCCAAATGCCCTGGGGACTTCTTCCTCACTGTCTCACTCCTGGTTTGTATGGGTGTGTGCACATATATACACACATATGCATGCTCCTCTGGACTGCACTAAGAGCAGCCTTATTGTAACTGCGAGTTGGAATATGTGAGACATTTGTGGGATTTCGCTGATCAAGCACACTTCTGCACCAGCAGGATTATCAGACTACGCCATCTAAACAGTGTGTTGCTCCATTTTGGAGGTTTTGTTCAGAGAAGGGAGTATGTCTATTTGGTGTGTGTTTGGTGTTGTTTTTTTGTATCCAGGTTATTACTGGAAGACCCGTAACAATGCGTAGAATGTAGGACTGTCCTCCAAGTGCTCTTTCAAATCTCGGTTGTTAACCCTCCAGCGTTTCTCTCAACCTCCATCTGTTCCAGTAAAATATTTCCTGAGCCCAATCAACATGAGAGGACTACAGGAGAGAGGGTCATCACTCTCCTCCAGCTACTGTCTTTTCAATCAGGCGTCAATAACGGACACACCACCTTACACGGCCCCAACTTTATTAATAATACAAAAGATCTCCAAAAAAAAGGCAAAACATTTATCCAAAAGCCGATATCTTGATCTTGATGTTCATACCGTGATCTTTGTCAGACACACAGAGCTTTCCAAGGTGCCGCAGTGGTAAACTATGTAAGTGCGTAGAGGTGAAGATTCATCTTATTCCATCCAGAAAGAAAGCAAGCATGCATGTCTTTTAGTAATTGCAGGTATCCAACAGTCAACCGAGGTTGCACAGCATGACAATTGTGAACATGCCCGCAGACTCAAACATAGCAGCTTCCAGAGCTTTTAACACAGACAATGGTAGATTGCATAACTGATGCGTTCACCGAAAACACTGGATGTCGCTCCCAAGTAAATTTGGCAAAATAATGAAGGCACACCGAGGCTAACACAGGGAAGGGTGTAGCTTCATTACTCAGTAACTTCATCACCCACACAGGGACTCGTGACAGATTTTAAGAATCAAAGTCTCTGAGTAATTTGACGAAACCATAGCCGAAAAATCTGTTTAATGAAGCTTAGGCGAAAATTCAGTCGGGAAGACTGGACAGGCTGTGCCGTTCCCTGGTGGCCTCCTCTCTCCCTGGGGGTGGACGGCCAGCTGATTAGGGGTAGGGTCGGGTAGTACTAGCCAACCAGACGTGGGTGTCGTTACCGCAAACCAATTGCATCGGTGAAGGAAAACGTTAAAAACTGTTCTCCTCTCTTTTTCTGTCAGTTTTCATTTCAGCACGCTCTAGGTGACCCGCCACCACCCCCCCTGACACCCAATCTACAGCAGAACCTGGCATATCAGGAGCTTGGAGCAACTTAGGCTCTACCACCACCACCACCACCACCTGTGGCTGGACTCCCAAAGGGGGGGATATGCCTCATTTCGGCTCGACATCCCGGCCGCTGGTCTATCCTGCGGCAGGATGGAGTCCAAGCCCCAAACAACTTTGCAATATCAATATTATGCCTGTTATAATAAAGCATTGTTCAAATTTCAACAAGTCTCTCCAGATTGAAATGTAATTAAGGAGTTACCGTCTGATGTTTTAGAATTACTCACAACACTACTATTAGTGGACAAATGGAAACCACCTCTTTTTTATTCTTTTGATGAGAACAAGAAAATAAAGGGCAAAAAGAATTTCCCTTGATGCTTTTGAAATAAACAATCTGTCCAATTGGCTTTTTTACAGATGGCATGTAATCTTTATTCACTGTTATTAATTCATCCGTAAGCACACACATGAATTAAATGTCCACAGAGGCTGGTTCTCACTGATGATTTAATGCTAAAAACATCTGGTGGTGCTCTGCAATAAACATTTACACTGACTCACAGGAGCCATTGCTGATGCAGAAATGAGCAGTATGTAATCACAATGATCTCCCTATACGTGGACATGAAATGACCCTGCTGCTGGGGGAAATAAATTAACCACCATTGAACTCACCAGCTGCAGTGTCATCATTACTATGTCTGATGCAGGCCAACACCCTATAGTAGACCACCTACCTCAGCACCCGGTATCTAATCCTCACGTTTGAATAATCTTAGTACACCACCAGTTGGTGTTTTTGTGTATCCCCCAATAAATGCATACAAAAAAAGAATTCCTATATTGTTCATTATATGGGCTGCGTTATCTTAATTAAACATTCACCTCTATATGCAGAACAGCCAAGGCTAAATCATGTTTGCCCTTCTGTCTAAAACAATCGACCCATTGCAATCAGCGAAAGCTCAATGTTAATGACAATGGGACACAAGTGGCGGTTGAATATAATACTAGCTTGCTAATTGTCACTTGTGTATCATTTGGCAACCCATGTACGAGAAAAAAAACTGACAAGCCTGCAAACCACCGATACAACGAACCTTGACATTTCTGAACCAAAAATATCGTTTAAATGAGCATTTCTAGATTTTGTGTATCAATGTTCTAGTGTTTTAACCTCTTGTGGAATTGTGGAGATTTTGACTCTACTACTTGATTATAGGTTTAGTAAAAGATGAGGTGATATGGGTTCAAATATGTATATATATGTACATAACTTTTAATTTTACACACTAAATTTTACTCTCTAAGGTTTAAAATCCCACGCTTGACCCACAATCACCTTGGTAAAAGTACTAAAGACACGAGGAGCCATGATGAGCGACATCATCTTGCCTCTAGAAGCTTAGTGTAAAGTCAATGTTGAACCCGTCAGCATTTGAATCGCATTCTACGAGATGAGACTCCTGCGCTCTGATGAATCAGCCTGACTAACCTAGATGCCTGTAGGGCCTTGACATCCCCTTTTATTTGCTGCAGTGTTCATTTTTTGCATAGATTTAAATTCATGCATTGCTAATTACTCTTCATGTTTTCAAGCATGCATCATCATGACACTGAGAGAGTCTGAGAGAAGGTAGTTTTCTGGGAGACAGAGTTTTCTCACTTTTGACAGCTAGCCTGGTGGAGGAGCAATTAGTGTCATCTGACAGCATTCCTCCCGGGATGACTAGGCCCCATGAAAACTCATCTCAGCAAAGCCCCGGCACCCTAAAAAGCTCATCAAGATCAAACTGGCCTTTTTTATGTCCTCCCTTACTCCCCTAAGGCACAACATGATGAAGGCTTCCCTCTGCCTCATTTCAAGTTGATTAAAGGCAGCAAGCCTGTCTTGGCCTCCATTTCTCAGTTAGACTTGGTTTCTCTGCGACACATCTGCCACGCGTTGTGTCATTTGTGCTGCCGGGGAGGCAGGGAACGGCCCAAACAATGTGCATTACCTCATTAAAACAACGTTAATTCCGAGGAGGGGGATTACAAGTATTGTTGTTGTTGTTGGCATTTTTAAAAGGAAAAACGTTTAAATGAAGTGGGGAAATAGACTGCCTGTTGGTGGAAACCCCATAACACTTTTTTGTGGCCCTTTTATTTTATTAGACCACTGGTGAACTGAACACCATCAAAACTGATTTAATTCCCAGCCAGGGTCAATGCCATGTGCATTATCTTGTTTTGTAAGAAATACTGGGATTAAAATGAGAGTCGAAAGATCAATACAGCAATTCACCCATCACGGAGAGGAGGCTGTGCGTCAAGTATTTCAGCTGCTTATTAACATGGCTATTGATTGGAGTCAGAGGAGCGTGGTCGCAGAAGCAGCATCAAATACCAATCGTTAACCCTCAAGTTGGCGTTGGCTATAAACACTTGGCATGCGTGGTAACATCTCTATCTTTGAAGGGGCATTTCACTGGCGTTCCACCTCGACCGAGCTTTATCCCCTCATCGGATGTAACTCATTAGCACAAGCAGCCTTGAGCTCATTAGATGTGGGCTCTTAACTTTTATTTTGTCGCGCCTGGATACTTCTGAAAAAATATCCAAGCATTTGAGTATGAAAAAAACTTGAGAGTGGAGGCGTTTGTTTGATTTCCATAAGCTGCCGTTAAAGAAACAAATTAAGAAAATGTTGTGTTGTCTCCTACTTGCCGGTTACTTGCTGTTCAAACAAACAGTCATGCAGATAAATTAAAGGTATTCATGTAAATAATCATACAGCAAGTAAACCTAGAGATGTAAATCATCTGCAGGTTCACCACTAGAGCTGAAACTGATTGATACAGATAGCGATCACTGATGAGGGGGTGGAAATAGAAAAAAAGGTGAACAATTGGGAGAGGGATGGAGAAGCGCAAAAAATGAGTTATACAGTATTGACCTCAAAATCCTGCCCCACTATCTTTTTGAATGATCTTTTTTTTTTTAATGCTGTGAGAAAATGGAAAACCGCTTCCACAATCAGCCTTTGTGGAAACGGGAGAAATTGGCCATGTCTGTGCTCGTAACCCTCGAAATATATCAACCAGTCCTTCCAAACACAATGCATACTCTTTCAGCAAGAGTGCACAACTCTGGCCACCATGAAACGGATCTGAAACAACCTGTGCAGAACCTTAGATGGTTGAGACCCCGGCAGGTAGATCAGTGAGCAGAGGAGACGGAGAAATCCAAGTGGGGCAGATGGCCTGGAAAGAGCAGATAGCTAGCTAACCCACCGGATTTACTTTATCAAATGAAAAAAGCTCAAACTCATTTGAAGTGCTTAATACCACAGCCCAATTCTGGAAAAGCTCCATCTGTCCTGCTAAAACCTTATTTTAAAGCAACCGCGGAGATAGATATAAGAGAACAGGAATAAGATGTTCTTAAGTTCAGTGTCAATTCACTGGAAGAATAATACAAAATATATTTTATTTTACCTTATTTTCTGCGCTGAAAGTGAGAGTGGCCTAAACCTCGTAATATTTGTGCAATTATTCTGCAAGTAAATGTTAATGCGGCCATAATCACTAGATGGAGCAATGCATAATATGTTGTTAGCTGTGGCGGAGGGGTTGTAGAGGCAGGCTCAGGGCAGTAAATTCTCCTGATACATTTTTCATCCTCCCACTCCTGCAAACTGCCAGGCTGCTGAAGGGAGTATTGACTAAGCAGAGAAAAGGTCTGATCTTGCGTATTTATTCCCCACCAATCTATGTGATCCCTGATGGAAATTAGAGAGTTCTCTTAGTGCCTGTATTATGTTTAACCTAATCATACATCAATATAGATATTTATCATACAGCAACCTCATCTCCTTCAGTTTTTTTTACTCCATTGAATTTCCTTCCTTTGCCCTTGCGAAGTTGAGGAATGTCTCCTATAATAACTCCCATCCACCGGGGAGGCAGGCTGCCAAAAGACGAACGTGCACTTCAACCACAATATCCCTCCTATGGCTCCTAATGCTTGCTGCTTGACACGTGAAATCAAATCCAAACCAAAGTGAATTCCATAAATCACATATTTGTGTTTTCTACTAAATTCTGTTTCACTTTGGCCCAAAAGTCTACACACTGGCCATGAGCCCAACAGAGAATTGGCAGTGGAGAATATGTGATCCTACCAGAGGTCGACAAATACCATTGGCAGTAAAGTGGAAGCAATTAATTTATTTGCTTCACCAACAGTTAGTTTCTAAAATGTCTAAAATGAAATTCAACTACAAGTACATGAATCGAACAGGGAAATGATTAATTAATCTTTTCAAATTTTTTGCCAAAAACAGTGGTTATATTTCATCTTACTCAGTAAATAGATTATTGTTGGAAAAATTATCTTTATCTTTAGAAAGAACGACACTGCGACAGTACGACAGTCACATGTCTCTACACAAAATTTCAAGAAACAAAAAAACTACCTGTCAGTTTTTCTTGCTGGTGCAAAAATCGGAAATGTCAGAAAAGTCCTCTCAACTCGGCCGGTCCGATGAGAACATGTCCGTGTCCGTCTATTCATGCAGGAGGTGAGTGGCGGTTGTGAATTGTAGAAAACCAAAGTCATCCCTGAGTAAAAACTGTCCTGCTAACTTTTCTGTGCACACTTCTTCTCCCCAGGTCTACATTCTAAAGCCCTTTATTCTCTTTAAACCGTGGGACCCGGGCAGCCCGCAGGCAGAGGAACTCTACTTGGTGCTGATGAGACGGTACACTTTACTTCAACTTCTTTCATTTCATCTTAATGCGATCAACAAAGGGACCATGGCCCATTGTCATCAGTCGTGGCAAGCAGTAATGTGTGTGTGTGTAGTTTACCATAAGTTCACTATCAGTTCAGCTTAAGGAGAGAGGGAGGCTGTGGTCTCATTAGCTCAAATGGTGGCGCTGAAACAAATTGCTATGTGCTGTTTTTTTATTACTTCTGGTATAGTAGCTTTGTTAGGGTAAAATATCTATTAGTTCCCTTTCCTTGCTGTTTTGATTGAGTGAGGATGTGGTTCAGGTCTGATTTATTAAATGTGGTGAGATGCAAAAGTGTGTGTGTGTGTGTGTGCAGGTAGTGCACACGTACTTATGTGGTTCAAGATTTACTTGCCTTACGCAGAAGAAGCTTTCAGAGCAAAACCTATACAAATACATCCTCTGTTAAGACTTATCGTAGCCCGCCAGAGGCAGCAAGACAAAGCTCACACATTTTAGTCCCCGTCGGTAAATGAGGCAATTGAAAAATTGCAAATGCCAAGGAGCACATGCACCGATGCTTTACTTTTTTTTTTTTAAAAGACCCACAAAGCAAACATTTCAACCTGAGACAGACGCCATCACTTGTACCCCCATCTCCCCACCCACTCCAGCAATTTGTTGCCTGCCCATCTCTGTCAACCCACACAAGAGCAGTGGATACTGTAACAGCCAGGACACTAAGCCAAAATGATTCAATGCACTCCGCTGTTTTATATTTGTGCAGCAGCAGTTCGATTTTAGAGACGTGATTCTGCTGTTCCTCCCAGCTGTACTGTGTTAATAGCATCTTTTAGCTCATTGTTTCGCTTTTATGGTTTTCCACTTGACTGTTTTGGTCTAGTATTGCAGCTCCTACTACTACACATTTAGATGCAAGCAGCAGTTTTTCGTAGTAAAGGATCGCCGATAAAGCCACTGTACACTAACTGCCCATCAATAAATCGAAACAAAATGAGCAAATAGCCAGTGAACATATTGGAGCAAGAGTCTGAACATTCCTTACTCCTTAACAACTTTTCCACTTTAAGTTCTATAAATGGTGTAAAAATTGCACTGACCTGAACCTCAATGCCATATCCCAGGTAGACCGTAACCAGGTAGTTACACTCTGTTCCAGAGTCAAGCTGCTGCAGGATTTTGATGTTGCCCTCAGGGTCAGTGAAATTCAGGCTGCACGGCTCTGTGGGAGACAGTAAAAAAAAAAAAGGTGATTCCCTTTTTACTGGACGACTGATCTTTCTGACAGGACACCTGTGTCACCGTAGCTCCATAACCCTCTAACTATCTCTGCAGATTTCCCTCCCGGCACTGCTGATCTGGGCCGTCAGCTCTTTGGCCAATGGAAAGGGCAGGCAGGACACGTCAGGGAGAATCTAATTGTTTTCGACACATGAGCGACTCTGTTATCTCTGCTGGTGAGATGAATAGCTGTGTGCAGCATGCAAAATTAAACCCAGCCATGTTGATAACCCGATGCTTAAGTTTCTTATCCTCTGGAAAGAATGTGTTAAATCTTTGCGGTACTATCAAGTTTGAATTTCCGTTATTATCTACGAAGGAATGTGTTGGAATGTCATCCTTGAAAGTCAAAGGAAACCTCAACGTGCCTACCTGCTGTTTGCATGGTGGTGATGGTGGTGATTACGGTAGTGGACGTGGTGTTGGCACCATCCTCTTGGGAAGCTATGTTCAGCAGTGGATTATCGGGGCCGGTGTTCCCTTTCAGCGCTGTTTGCCTGGCTTCCCCTTCCTCCGCCTGCATCGAAGAGGGTGCCAGGGTCACTTCTACGGGAGGCGCATTCACAATTTGAGAGTGGCTTCTTTGCGATGATGCGGACGCCCCTGGGTTCTCGCTGAGTGAGCCTCTGCTATTGAGTGACACTTGCGTGGTGAGGGAGCCTGTTGTTGGCTCCACCTTGTCCATCCCCTTTGTCTTAAATGACATCTTTTGAGGGACACACATGCCTTGGCAGACAGGCCTTGATGTTGTGCGGGAAAATGTGGTCGGTGGGGAGGTGGCAGCGGCAGTGGCAGTGCTCGCAATGTCTGAAAAGGCTGGGGCATCCTCATGGGGCACCACCTGAGTGACTGGGTACCCCCCGTCTGAGGCGGACACGGAGCCCGGCATGGTGGAATATGCAGCTACAGAGTCAGAGTCATCTCTCTTAAAAAAGTGTTGGTCTCCCTGGAAATCCCTTGTAAGCAGGTGCTCATGAAGCAGCAGGCCCTTGAGGACAGGTCGGTGGTTGGGCAGGTTCATGGGTGAGACAGTGGTGACAGAGCGGAGTTCGCTCTCCGTTTCCTGGGTTGGCGAGTCCCTGTCCAGGTCCAGTGTCCTCTTGCTGATTCCGTTGTTGTCCTCTGCCACTAAAAGAAGGAAAAAGAATATTGTCGTATGAGTGCAGTATTACAGGACAGTGACCTAAGAAAACAACATAAAGTGCAAACGAGCAATTCACCTTTCATTTTCCTGCTAAAAAGAGGATGCCAGCCTATAATTTACCAAAAGTATGCCTAATGAGGTAGGAGGCTGTCTTCTTGCATAATTCCCCAACACATTTGATTGCAATTTAAATCAGTTCATTATCCAGTGTGCATGTCCTGGTCTGTGGGGGGAGGGGAATAGTCCAAGGGGTTGACATATGTAGGTACAGTAATGTACAGCACCCATGATATGATGTACCGTAGGGGTGTCACACATACGGATCCGGTCCGCCGGTCTGGCCCAGCAGTGTGGACAGCATCTGGCCCCCTACCTAAAATGAGTTTGACACCCCTGATGTACAGCATCCTATGTAGGAACACACCTTCAGTGTAATTCAGTGAAATTTTAAGATGAGGACGATTAATACTGACAGCGGCGAGTAGCGTCTTGCAGAATGCCAGTTTATAATCAAAGGTAAATTCTTCAATCACACCCGCAGGCGCTGGAATCCAGAGTAGAGAGAAACTAGGCAGAAATAGTGTAGTTACTTGTAAGATGAAACCATTTTAAAGCACATATTTTTTTACGACATTCTTCTGTAGACTAGCACTGTATTCGTGTTCTCTTTTCTTTTTTTTACACCTCACACACACCACTGAAACAGAGCAAGAATTGTTGATAGATTAACAAAGAAAATCTAGCACACTCAACACGGGTTTAGTCAGTAACAACAACATACAGGATTCGGAATGACATTATTGTCATAGAAGTAATTTGTATCCTGTCAATTCAAATAACTGTTAAAATTCCACTGCTTGTTTGGTTTATTTGTCTCTCTAAAAAATGGAAATATTTCACTTTTGTTATCAGCACTCATGCTTTTTGTAATCAGAACTCCTCCTGAGTTGAGCTCCTGGTTAAGTTGTGGCTCGTTTATAGGGTTAAGTCACCACTGTGTGGTGCTAAATGAACCTACATTAGTCAACTATAACTCCCCATGAGATGGACCGGTGTGGATGGCTTGTCTTTCCCACTCACTGGTTAGTCCACATAATGTGGAAAGCTGCTTGATTACAGCCAAACCTTTACTCGTTGGGGAACAGCTTTGGATCAAAACATGAGTGTGCATTTTACCTTACAGTCCAAAACATTCTCTTTAACACACTTGTTATTAATGAACAACCAACATATTTTACTTCCTCCCCATTCAAAGCAAAACCGGTTAATAGATTTAAGCTGCACAACTTTTGTAAAATCACTGCACAGTGAATGATACAGTGAAGAATTTGTTGCGGATGAAAACCAAATATGTTTTCAGTTCTTCCCCGAAAATGAGTTATACAGCGGAATTTAACAAAAAACTCCAAACTGAATGAGTGTCTACTCACTTTTAGATGTTTGCATATCCTTTAAGAGCTCAAGAAAAACTGGCCGGCTAATCAGTTCATGCAGTCTAAGTGTTACTACTTTGTGTGCTGCATTTCCTCCCATCAGTTGTTTGGATGCACTAATGAAAGGAAGGTTTTCACCACTGCAAATCCTCCAGAACGTGTAAAAATCGGATAAATGTCTTGTAAAAGGCCTTTTACAGGATAACAACCCTGAAATGATCGAATTTTCTCCAGGTGGCTGCTAGTTACATACCTTTTATGTGAAATATATATATATATATATATATATATTTGTATTTTTCTCCATGTTTGAAAGGCTCTTTGTAAGGGGTTTGTTGGCAGGGTGTGCTTCTATCTCGCTCTGATGGATGCAGGAATACAGCGCGGGACGTAAAAATAAAACACATAATCAACATTTTTTTTTAGGACGGTGCAACACGCTGTCTAAAAACGCCACACCAGACTGTGAGTTATTTCTTTCATTTTGGCATCAGCGCATGTACATCTTTCTCCGCCTCAATATAATTTGCATGATGTAAGAGTGCTATTTAAAAAAAAGTTCATATAATTCTCTGACTGTACTGCACTGTACTTGAAACAATACCATTTGCTTTGACACCTTAATGGGTTTCAATGCATTTGTCTAAATGAGACACAAAAGCCATCACACTTGTCATGGTTATAGATGAAAGGATGGTGTTCTCACAGACAACTCAGGCGTAAGATATCTTCATGGTGAGAGTTTACGACATTTCAAGAGGATATATGTTGCATATCAAAACAGATGCAAGACCAATTTAAAAATAATTATACAGTGTATATTTTAGACGTCATGTGAAATACTGCAGTATATGACGGGTGAAATTATATAATGTATTATTTAATTCTCTTCCACAATAAGTCTCACATATTGTCTATTCTTGTTTGGGGTCAGTTCTTATTATCTGATTTAATTATGAAGCGTGCATGTTAATTGACTGGCTCATTTTGCTTTAATTGATCACAAGCGCAAGTTGCTTTTCAGGCAAAAATTCACCGTGGAAAACTGACATTTGACTGCATTGAATATATTCAGGGTTTAATAACAGGAATTTTGCATTAGATGACAAATGCTGCTGAAAACGATGCAAATATTACGTACGTCACCGGAGAGGCTGTGCGTGGCTCTTAACGAAAGCGTTTGTAAAGCGCTGTAACACCAGTAGTTTGGCTACCATCCAACACACCAATAAAAGTTTGATCGGATTATTCAAGAGGAAGAGTAAACAATTTTGTTACAAAGCCTCTCCAAGGCTTACAGAATTGACACATGGTTTTACATTATACTGGCAGACGCGACAACACAGCATTTATCTTTCTCGGCGACAGAAGCAATTCAAAGAGCTTTTGATGTTCTAAGATGGAGGAGGAACATTTCCTTGTAGCCCTATTCTGTCACAACAAGAGCAGAGAAAGCTGCACAGTGAAGGCAAACTAAGCATATTTGACATGTCTCACAACCGAGGAGAATAAAACGTGTAAAGGGAGGTCTTCATGAATGATTGAAGGTTATAAGGCTGCCCCCCCACGCACACACACACCATAATTGCAAAGTAGAGAGGAATCTTAAAAATACTGTAAACGGCAGCTTGGGGAGATGTGTTTTTTTTTTCAAGATCATTGTTATTGCTGCACCGAATTTGAAACTGGCCTACCATTTTATTTTCTTATCTCTCTCTGTCTCTGTCTCTATCTGTGCAGGTTAGCTATTGGCCATCCAGTCGCCGTCTTTCAGTCAGAATATCGAGTGGGAGAGGAGAGTGAGAACGAAGTCAACTGGGTCAAACCAGAGTTTCTCATATACGGATCAATACAGGATCAATGTGTACAGGTTGGAGACCTCGCTGTGGTGATTACAGAGGAGTGTGCAGTTACCAAGCTCCCCTCATTGCCGAGCCTTAATTGGGTGTTTACAGCTAAGGTTTCCCAGAATAGGGCCAAAAAGTTGATTTAAAATTTAAATGTATAATTTGAGTATGTGAATCAATACAATACGATACATACATACATACAATACATACAATATGAATACAACAGGATAGAATCAGTTATTTAATCTATTTTTCCTTTTGTAAAATAAACACACTGTGGCATCACACCAGGTGGTAGATAGGTGCTCCTTCCCCTTTAGTGTTTAGACCACCTGATTGAGACCGGACTTAAGGGCTGGAGAAGGAGAGAAGGGGGAGGCCGGACAAGCAGGAGGAGAACAGACGTTTACGTGGAGGAAACATGCAGAAAGGACCACAACGAGGTGGAACTTGTTCCAAGGAATCAGCCGTGTTAAGTTCTTGTTTGCTTGAGGAATCACTTTCTCCTCCGCGACGCTTTATGTTTATTAATGGACTTCAGTGGATTTTTGATTGAAACAAATTACCTGAGCTGCCTGTGGCATGGGAAAATAAACTTTCTTTTCTTCATTTAAACATTGTGATGGTGTCTTTTTTTCAGCTCCCATGCGCTGCTCCACCTTAACTGGCCATAAGGACCGCCCGTGACCTTACAACACATACAGAGGTAACTGATTATTTAAAATGCCTCACATCTGAGCTGCTGAGAATTTTACCGGTGGTAAAGACTAACTTCAAATTCAAAATGTTAGACCAAAATAAGCATGCCATCTTAAAATGAAACTAGATTTGGAATACATATAGGACAATTGTAGAGCATGCCAATGATATTCCAAAATGTGCATTTGCACTATACATAGGCAGGCGAAAGACCAAACATTTTAAAAACATATTCTCTCTACAGGCGCTGAACCAGAAGTGGCCTAAAGCTATGATGAAATCTGATTGGCCAACCCTGATTTTAAAGAACAGGTGTAAACTCACTATCAGCTAATATAATATAAGGTATAATATGGACAGTTTGGGGGAAAGACATTTTGTAAAACAACAACCTAGATAAAAGACAAAAAACATGGCAAGGATTGAACACTTGTGATTACCTAAATCGATAACGAACCAAAGAAATAAAATACAGTAATTGAGAAAGCTAATGTATATTCGCCAAGAATGCTGTTCCTCCTTTTCAATCCAGGCTGAAAAATATCCAGTTGTTTAGGTTCAGTTTAGTTTTGTGTAGTAAATACGTACCTTCAACATAAGTCCCTGGCAAATACATACACACACAAACTCAGCTTAATGCTATCAAACTAATGTGGAGCAACCCACTAAAATGTAATGCAAACACAGAAATGATATTCATTTGAGATGTCAGACGGTGTATTACTATCAAATTAACCAGAAAGAAAAATGCAAATTTGCAAATGCTGCAAGGTCTGGCAGAGGTTGTGATTAGAAACACAGGCCGCTCCTGTTCTCACCTGTTCCCGTTCACCGTGTACTAGAAGCCAATTTAAATTCATTGTGCTTGAAAGACTCCAATCCAGTATTGAGGCTCAGTAATATGCTGGTGAAACCAGGCCGATGTCAGGACGAAAGAGGTGCTAACGCGTGTGAAAGTTGTGCCTTGCTGTACAGCTAGTTGTCAATAATGTGTTGCTATGG